GCTTCCCACTGCGAGCCGCCGGCCCCCGCCGAGACCCCCAGCGAGCCCATTGACATGCTGGCCAGCGTCCCGCCCTTCGTCACCTTCCACACCCTCATCCTCGACATGAGTGGGGTCAGCTTTGTGGACTTAATGGGCATCAAAGCCTTGGCCAAGGTGAGCCCCTTGTGCAGAGGGAGCACCGGGCACCCCCGTGCACACCCTCATTCAAAAAAAAACCCTCTCCCCCTTTGCTTGGAGCATTCATTCTGACAAGCTAAGGGAGGATACATACCAATAGGACTGAAGGTCCCGAAGGACCCCTTTCTCCCAGACGTGACCAGGCCAAGGGGCTCTGTGCAGAGCAGGCCCAGACAGCCCAAGACAAAGTATGAGTGGCTGGAGAGGGAGACCAGAGGCCCAGGCCCCCCTGTCGCACCCTCCACAGCACCCCTCTCTAGCAGAGGCCATCGCAAGCTCCCTCTCAGGCCACAGGAACCCACCCCAGGGTCCTCTGAGTGGAGTCCAGCTTGGCCCTGGTTCATGGTCTACTGCTCCTTCCCACACTCACCCACACACTCCAGCAGCAGCCAGTCCCGGCTAGCTGAGGAGGGAAGAAACAATATCAGTGCCCCACATCCTTGGGCCAAACAGGCAGCCCACAGGGCACCTTGAAGGAATGTATTCACCTGGCAGCTTTTCAGCGACCACCTCCAAGGGCTGAGTCAGCCAACCTCAGGGCTGGCTCAGGTCCAGGAGAACAGAGTATAAGGGCTGACATCACCACTGGCCAGGTGCCCCGAGAGCTCGTCCCTAGCTGGGGGCTCGGCCTGCTTCCCTGGCCTGGACCTGAAGCCCAGGTGGGCCTTGGCTGCAGCCCTCGCCTCCCCAGGCCTTGCGTCTCCCTTGCAGCTTCTGCCTGAAGCCACAACATGGGGAAAGAGGTGGAGTCTGGGAATCTAAGCTACTGAAAGGAAAGCTCTGGCCCCATCAGAAGGGGCCGTGGTGACTTTAAGTGCCCGCCTCCTTGGCAAAGCCCCACTTCCTCCCTGCTTTTCAGAGACGCCTGGAGCCAACACTCCAGAGAGAAGTGGTGTGCTTTGCTGCTATTTTTATCTGTGGCTGCGGGGCTCTCAGGATTGCTTATTTGTTTGGCTTCCCCTCTGAAATGGGTTCTGTGAATCACTTTGGAGACCCACTCAGAACATTCCTTTCCTTTTGCCCCCCTTACCCCGACGCTTCTAGCTGAGCTCCACCTATGGGAAGATCGGTGTGAAGGTCTTCTTGGTGAACATTCATGGTAAGAGAAGACATTTAGGAGGTTGAAAGACTGGCGAGGGGGTGAGGTGGGAACAGGTTGGAGGGATGCTGAACAAGGAAGGGGGTGGAAATGCGAGCACCCATGTAGTCCCCCAAACTACTGCCTGCTCATGAGAGCTTCAGACACAAGTCAGAGGGGACGGTGGCCAGACTGTGTAAACATCCCAGGGATCTCAATAGCAGAGTGGGAGATCGTGGAGTTAAGAAAAGATAACTAGGGTTCTAATTTCCCCACCACTAATTTGCCATGTATCATTGGCCAAGTCACTTTATCTGTCTAGGGATCAATTGTCACCTATCTATATATATAAAAGCCTAAGCAACCAAACTATGACGCGCACTGACCATCAGGGGGCAGATGCTGAACACAGGAGCCGCTCCCTGGTGGTCAGTGTGCTCCCACAGCCAATCTCCTGTGGCCCCTCCCCCCGGCCGGCCAACCTCCCACAGCCCTGATTGGCGATCACCAGCCAAGCCAAGGGACCCTACCTGTGCACAAATTCGTACACTGGGTCTCTAGTGTAAAATAAGGAGGTTGACTAGGTGAATTTGGGGTTCTTCTTTAAACCTGAAAGTCCATGAATAATAAATCAAACATATATCATTACTACTCAGGGGATGCAGATATGCAGTTTTCTATGCATGGAACCTCCAAAGGGCACATATACACAGCCAGAGGGCATGTCCACACAGCAGTGGGCTTTCACATCGTTAGCACACCCTCGGAGTGCAGGGACATGAACACACAGCACGTGGAGGGACCCTACCCGAGCACAAATTCATACACTGGGCCTCTAGTGTAAAATAAGGAGGTTGCCTAGATGAATTTGGGGTTCTTCTCTAAACCTGAAAGTCCATGAATAATAAATCAAACATATATCATTACTACTCAGGGGATGCAGATATGCAGTTTTCTATGCATGGAACCTCCAAAGGGCACATATACACAGCCAGAGGGCATGTCCACACAGCAGTGGGCTTTCACATCGTTAGCACACCCTCGGAGTGCAGGGACATGAACACACAGCACG